CATGACCACCCAAATGCTTAGCTGTTTTAAGCGCGCCAGCACACAACCCCGACTGTCATCACATACAGACAGGCAGGACTTGCAAGTGTGTCCTCCTCAGTCTGTTTGTTGCTCTTATACACATACCCTGGGTGTGGCGGCTAGCAGGAACTTAGGTGGCAGCGTGGGCTGGCAGGATCGGATTGTAAAGGTGCCCAATTTTCTGCAGTGGACCTTTACATCTGTGTGCCCCACCACGCCGGGCCTGGAGGCCGTGAACACCAAATCCTGAAAAGCATATACAGAAATCACCACAATGAATCAATGATTTTGCTTAAGCAGAAAAGAGAGGAACTGCAAACAGAAGTAAACAAAGTAGGATCATACAAAGCTCACTGAGTTCAGTGCTCATCGTTTTATAAGCTGTTCTCACATTATATTTAAGTTTATCTGGCTTTTATCCAAAGACATTACATAACATTTCAACTTAAGGCTGAAATTGCTACGTGAAATGTAAGATTACTGCAGCCTATATGGTTTAAACTCCACATGTCACAGCATGTGGACATCAGGATAAAACACTGTGGTAAACACAAACATTCATTTGGAACAAAGTATAGTAGAGTATTACAGAATGGTAGGTTTTTAAAGGAATATGGTAATGTCTGCTTTTATGTGACGTGTGTGAGATTATGGCTACACAGTGCCATCTAATGGCAGACAAAAAAATAAATAAAATCAACTATCAGTGTCAGACCAACTCAGGCAGTGCTTAGCAACTACAATTTTTTCTTCATTTTCTTTGTTGAAGGCCATAATGCTTTGTGTGTGTTTCACAAAAGCAATGCACCAAGGAAGATTTTACTTTTTCAAACCCAGCAAGAGCAGATTTTTGAAGCCTGTTGAAGCTTTCAGTGCTAAAGCTTCAACAGCTTGAACATCCAGGAGGATGTTACGATTGTTAGCAGATTGCAATTAAGACAAAAAAATACAGTTTAAAAATGTGCTGACAATATGCAAAAATCATATCAGCACATCTTTATGGTTGTGGAACATAATTAAGATGTCAGATACAAACAAAAGCAGAGTTTCATAAGATAGATATGGATGACATTAAGAGAAAGACAACATGCTGTTTGTATATTACGACTGTTTCAGCACTGAGATGGAACAGAGATGCAGTGAGAGTGAAACAGAGGGACAGACAGCCAATCCAATGCTCCCCCACAGCTTTCTGGGTATAATAGTGCGCGTCTTGGTTCTCTCGGTTTTCTCAATTCCTTGATAGAAGCAAAAGGAAAGCTGAAAGCAATACTGGCCACGCTGTCAAGTACACAGCCAGAGAGAGATGAGCCAAGCAGAAAGAAGTGCCACTGTGTGCCAGCTCCATCCAGTTTTAAAAGAAAAATGAGGAGTTAAAAGAAGTTGGCAAGAACTGCGGGAGTGAGTCATTTCTACAAGTAGGAGTTTGGGGTCAGCGTGGTCATAAAGCACACATACAGTAAAAACTCTCCAGGTGTCTGCGAGTTTCTATTCCTTGCTCATATTTGAAGTTGCATCTAATATTCTTATTCTCATATGTTGAGAAGCTCCAGGGGGGAACCTAAGATGCTAGACAGCTGCCTAACCCAGCATGATGAGGCCGGGAAAGGAAGAGGAGGATGGAATTACCCCCGGCAGCATTTACTCCTGAGTATTTTCCACCCAACAAGTTAAGCTAGAATTGGTGGAAGGGTGGAAATGTGATACAGAAAGTATCTGCCAATTGTTAGCAGTTTGCCGAGTGAAATCTTGATGATTTTTTTTAGGCTTTTCAGTTAAGCAGATAAGTGAAGGAGCAGGAATTTTAAGCAGCGACAGTGTAGAGCTTTTATTATTATTATTTGTACTATTCTTTGTATTTGAACTGGCATTGCACCACTTCTGTACTAACAATAAGATTTCCATATTGCCAAATAATACAAAGAAAAAAAAAAGTCGAAGCAATAATGTGCTGTCTCAGCAGTACCCATGAAACTATTTGCGTGTAGAGAAAAGGCTTTGCTGCATGTATTACATTTATCATCTTTACCGACGAACATCACACATCACTAATCATATTTTGCCATAAAACACCAGCAACACACAGGTCATGTATACTAATCCACACAGACAGACCTCACAACCAGCTAAAAGTCTGTACTAAAAGCAGATCGATATGTTTTAATTATTAATACAAGACTTTGTATACATATTTTTGAAATGGTGTTTAATGATTTGAGGAGATTTCCTCTACACATCTGATGTAA